TGAACTTGCAACAATTGACACTGGAACAGTGATGTTAACAACGACGCGCACGCGCGTCGCGCTGCGTCAACTGGAGCGGCTGATAGGGGACACCATTCTACCCAGCGACGATCACGAGGTGTGTCCCGTGTGCGATGTTGTCCGGCCTGGGCCTCGCCATATGGGCACGCATCGCTCAAAGAGTTTGTATGTAATATGTGCGGGGCCCTGTTTGCCCGCACAGAGAACAGGGACGCACACGAACCATATTGTACGAACTGATTCGTTTCTACATCCAACACACGTGCCCAAACCCTCATTTAAATTAACTTCTTTTCTTTGCGACACCACAATTTGCTACGTGCTCTTGCATAACACGCCACATAACCACACAACTCTCAACAAACATTGCCACGTGACCACTTTGCGTTGTCGACAATTCTTGTCTCCTGCTCTGTTTCTTTTTGTTAGAGTGTTCATTCATCCTACATCCTTGTTTGCCTCACAACTCAAGTACATATGGCAATCTTTCGCGCGGTTTTGTGCCGGGTCTGTTGTGAAGTAGCCACACGCTTCGCATTGATTGCCATCAACTACGTGTCCCTCTGTACGTCCCATCATGCCGAGACTAGTCTGGTTTTGCAACATCAAGTGTGAATGCAGCCAGTCGGACCGGGTCTTGTGCGGGTAGTAGTCAACGAGACGTTTGCCGTCTGCTGAGGTATATAAATGACCTTTTTGCTTAAAAAATGCCATTAGCCTTTTTGTAGCTCAATACAAGAGCAGCAAGTCATCACACAAGCAAGTTCTCGTGTCCCCTTCTGTTGATTGGATGCAACTCTGCCACGACTGCATTGCATTAGAGACGTTGTGGAACAATGCAATCAGCACAAAACTGCCACAAACGCGGTGGAAAGTGGAGTTTGCGACACGACAAATAGTATCTGGAACGTTCCAGTTTTGTTCCGATCACGCTTTCGAGATCCGCTTTTGTGACCGCCACAAACGCACTGGAACAAACCTTTTTGCGTATGTCATCGCAAAATTTCCACATCACAGAGACAGAGAGAATGGATGGTCACACACAGGAACAGCTGCAGCAGATGCAGCAGCAGCAGCCGCATCGTCCGGTTCCTGGCTTCTCCAACGTGCTTGATCATGGCGAGGACGAGTCACAACAATCGCAGCAGACACAAGAACCGCAGCAGGCACAGCAACAAGACACAGGGTCGATCCACAAGCATCGTCGGCTGACCACAGCTGAGCTTCAGGCTCTCATGGCGCTGGCCCTGCAACATGATCTGCCCAGGAAGAAAGGTCACCATGGGGTTCGTCGGGAGTGGACCAAGGTCGCCAATGAGTTCCAGCAGAAGCATCCAAGTCAGCCCCCACTATCAGGGAAGGCCGTTCAGGTGAGAGATGCATGCGTTTTCATCCGTCTGAAGTATGTACATGTTGGCGTGTCTCTGTGTAAGCTTCCTTTGTAGTCATCTTAGACGTTCTCTTTGCTGGTTGCTCAGGCTCGTGTCTCGAGAGTTGTCGAGGATGTCAAGGCGGCAGATTCGATGGAGTCTCACTCTGGCTCAAGTCTGGCTCCGTATCCGGAGGTAATCATGGAGGCGGCGCGAACGTTTTCCGAGCGCGTTGATGAGGCCACCGATGCTAAGGATGAGCAGCGCAGAAAGAAGTCGAAGGAAGATGCGGCCTTGGTGTACTCGTCCATGCTCCCATCCACGGGAGAGACGAGTGGTGATGAAGACGACGACGTTCTTCAGGCTATCTCGTCAAGGTGTGTCTGTGTATGTGTGTGTGTGTGTGTGTGCGTGTGCTTCTGGTGTGTGAATTCCCATTGAGCCCGAACAACCAATAGCACTTGTCTCACACTCCCATGTACACCCCGCTCAACACCAGGGATCACGATCTGCGCCAGCAGCAGATAGAATTGGAACGCAAACGGCTTGAGCTTGAGGAGCGCCGGTCTGTCAGGGACGACGAACGCCACACACAGATGATGGCTTTCATGCAGACAACCATGGCCACGCTCGTAAGAACCTCTATTGTTGTCACATTCTAATGAACTGTTGGGCATGTACCTTTTTTTTCTTCGATCGTGGCGTGCATGTGTGCATATGCGTGGATGTTTGACCTAGATGTGTGGGCAAGTATGCAAAATACATGTTTCATACACCTCACATGGTGCAACTGCCACTCCCACATACAGGGTGAGCTGACAAAGTCGCTCCGTGGGCGTGACAATGGACGTGCCAATGATGACACTGATGATGGTCGTGGTGTGGCTGGTGCTCTGTGACTGTTACTCCATTGCGGCATGCAGTCCGACTACCTTGCTCGTGTTACGTTATGGTGGGTCGTGTATTGTGAACGGGTGTGCTTTGTTCAAACATAGTTACGTATCTCATGCGCGTGTGTTTGCGTATGGTGTGTGTATGGGTGTGGATGTGCACATGCGTGTGTGCATGTATGCCTGTATGCTTGTGTGTTGTAATGTCTGTGCTTGCGTGTGAATGCAAGTGTTCCGTTTGCACTGCTTGTGTTTATGTGCAACAACTTGAATACACAAGTCTATGGTGAGAACAAGTATGACTCAAGTCGCGGTGGAGACACGTGAAAATATGTGCTCGCTTCGCATCCATACAAGCACACGTGGCAGTTTGTCAAGAGAAACCCCAAAGCAATATACTTCCCGACGGGGCTCAGCCCAACCCTCAGGTTTGAGCTGAATCGCAGGAATCGCCAGTGATTGGCGACGTTTCCAAAACCCCACTCCACCGCAACACGAACTCGCTTGAGCTCTGGGTGATTGTTGACTACAATTACGCGATGACTCGTTGCATATGCGTTGTCCCCGCCGAGACGCATTCCTGGAACAATGCCATCGATCCAGTTGGCGACACCAGAAGAGTAAAAGCACCTGGAGTCATGCCAGCGACCTGTGGTAAAGCGTGGTGATTCAGATACAGTCATTGATGAGCACGATGTTCACAGATCTCACACATTGTTGTACTCACACAATCGTTGATGGGTGGCCCAAGCAACGCACACGCGCACGTACACGCACACGCACATGCACACAATGCACACAATGCACACAATGCACACAATGCACACAATGCACACAATGCACACAATGCACACACACACACACATACACACACGGCGCAACTCAGCACGTACCCGGGTATGGCCCCGTAGCACTTGCTATCATACCATTTGGTAATGATACTCCCTGATACTTCAATACGTGTGCTCTTTTGTACCCAGTGTATGCTGCTGATTGGTGGATGCTTGGGCGACATATCCAGTACATTGTACCATCAATGAAGCCTGCCAAACATCGGTGAGCGGTGCTCTCAATGTTCACGCAAACATGACCCATGCACCCGCTCATTCAACCTCAAACAAGCCATCACGCTCACATACAGATAGACTTTGCAGCGAGACGCATATAACATACCAAACACATCATGCGCGTTGCCTTTGTTGTGGATAGCAGCACTGTATTGTTCCACGAAGTGATCCTGTGTCAGGTACTTGGAATGCCTGAGCCGAGCGTGGTGCTTGGTGTAGAGATCCGTTACAATCTTGTTAATCAGCACACTGAGCTCGGATTCCCCATGAGTGGTACCTATGAAGTGCGATGGACAACCAGAGAGTGAGGTGATGCTGATAACTTTCACGACCAGAAAGCAAGGACCATCGGCGAAGAGTGCCCACATTGCCGTTGCACACGACACATACGTAGCTGCTGTCGCAGATCGCTCAGCCTATTGGGGTACGTTAAGCGCCGCAGCAACAATGCGAGCACTTCCAGTCCACTGTAGTGTCTGCCATATGCTCCCGTGTATGTGTCCCTCACCTGCAAACTGCGGGCCAAGCGCTGCAAGTGGGCAAGCGATCTGAAGCGGAATAACCCTTCAAACGTTCTTCGGTCAAACTGAGACAAATTGATCAGAGTCACCACACCCCATGCTCTCGGAATACGGTGATAGCGCACATATCTCTCAAACGAGATCAGAACATGTTGACTGATAGCTCCACACAGCACAGCTTGGCGCAAGCGCTTGCGCCGTCTTTGCACACTCATCATCGTCGTGGCCGTTTGGTTTTTGGCGGGCCGTGTTTCAAAACATGTTAGTCGTGTTATGTTTGTGCCAAGTTTGTGTGGTTTGGACATGCGATGCAAACTGCTTCGAGGTTGCAATGTGCCATTTTTGTGGTGACGAAAGGTCTCTATTGTCCGTTGTCAACATGCCTTCTCGTTCTCGTTGTTGATGGACAAGGCAAGGCACACAGCTTCTGGTTTTGTCTCTGTAGTCGTGTCGTTCTCAGTCCTGCTCAGGCTGTCCTGTGGCAGTGCAGACAATTACTTAAAAATTTGGCCAATTTTCTGCAACAATCGTGCCGGATCCACACCAGAACCAAAGCTGTGCGCGAACCAAGATCACATCACACTTGCACCAAGCCCAAGCACCATTCTCCCCTTCTCCCAATTCACACACACACACACACAGACACACACAGACACACACACACACAGACACACAGACACACAGACAGTGTTTTCATACGATGAGTGAAGCAAAGGAGGCGAAAGATGCTGTGAAAAAGGCGTCCCTGGAACAGCAGTCGACCAAGGATCAACTCGGGAAGGCGCAACCACCAGACTTGGCCAAGCTGTTTGAGCTGGACCCTAGCCTGCAGCCATTCGAAGCAGCAATCACTCACAGGTGAACACCCACTCACACACACACACACACACACACACACACACACACACACACACACACACACACACACACACACACACACACACACACACAGCACTCATGTAGAGCGTTTGGTTGCGATGTGAGTGCCACTCCTATCTCACGCAATGAACACTTGTCGTGGGCAGGTACGGCCGCTTCGCCGAGCTCAAAGCGAAGATTGATGAGCATGAAGGCGGCTTGGCCAAGTTCTCACTGGGGTACGAGACGTTTGGCTTCAACCCCTGCGAGGAAGGCATTGTCTATCGCGAATGGGCGCCAGCAGCGACAGCCGTTTCCCTGACAGGGGACTTTTGTGACTGGGACCGCGATATGTTCAAGTGCACGAAGAATGAGTTTGGCGTCTGGTCGGTGGTGATTCCCAACAAGCCAGATGGCTCTCCAGGCATCGAGGAAGGGTCCTTCGTCAAAGTACGCTTTTGATCTTGAGAGAGAGAGAGAGCGGGCCGTTGTGCGCCTGTCCATGTGTGCTGCGTGGACATGTATGCGCGCTTGTCCATGTGCATGCTGCGCGGGCATCAGTGTACGTGGTGCGCATTCCTTGCGTGTCTCTGTTGTGTGTGCAAGCTTACATGCCTTTCAGTATGCCTGACATGCCGCATGCCATTGCATGTGTGGGGCTCATGCTGCGCTCTCGTGTGCCCCCGTTTTGCATGCATCTCGCCCGACGCGTCTCCCTCTGCCGCAGACGTGCATCACCACGAAGGACGGTGATCGTGTTGAACGAATTCCAGCCTGGATCACCAGGGCCGTTCAGCCCAAGGGCCAGATCCACTACGAGGGTGTGTATGAGCCAAAGACGCCATACGCATGGAAGCACAACCGACCAGATCGGCCAGAGTCCCTCCGCATTTACGAGGTTGGTACTGTGCTGGCGAATACTCACAAGGCAACACACACACACACACACACACACACACACACACACTACACACACACACACACACACACACACACACACACACACACACACACACACACACACACACACGCACACGACACACGCACGCACACACACGCACACACACACACACACACACACACACACAAAAGCAGCAAGCACACATAATCACACGCGCGCACACACACGCACACACACACACACACATGCCGATGAGCTCCCCAGTGTCAGGTGTCGTTCTTCATATGCTTATGAA